GCCCATTTTGCAGCCACTGTAAGTCTCGTTGCATGTACCCTATCATCCTCAAGTTGCTTGGAACCTCGAAGACATACATTTGCTATTCTTATTGTATATAGTTCCTTAAGAATTTTTTGTAAACTATTATGGATGTAGAAGGAAATCTGAAGTTAATTAAAATGAAATTTGTACTATAAGAGCTTCTCAATAATTCCAAAACACATTACCATTAGACCTGTCAGTTTTATTGTCGAATCCACATATTACCATTATACAAGTTTAAGATGCACATCACAAGTTGCTTGGCAACCCCCTTGGCGCCTGCTTTTTATTATATGAGAAAATGGAACCCTATGATGCCTTGGAATGATCAAAGAATGTAAGTGTTGTGGAAGCTACTAACGATGGATACACAGCTGCTATGTTTTCGTTCACAAGATGTGTAGCTAGTCCTCTATATATAATTCAAAAGAAGATTTATACCAGAAAGGATGTATGGTAAGTACTTGAAGAAGTTCACTTTCACTATGATCATCCTAATCAGAGTCGGCTCAACATTTATTTTGGTCACGGGGCAAAAAAAAAAATTTAAACTCTTAATATTTTATGTTTATTGAAAATTTAAATGTATTGAAATTTTTTTATCATCAACATCTTTATAAATTTTATGATGAAAACAAATTATATACACATACCATATTTTAGGGCCTTTTTCAATTAAATTTAATGAATATTTAAAATTTCAATATTAAAAATATATATATTTAAAAAAATATTGGACCCCTTAACTAGTAAGATACAGAGGGACATGAGTTTGGACCCGGGGGCGGTCGCGCCGTTTGTCCCTCCATTTTAGCCGCCCTGATCCTAATCTATGTATCTTATCGGGAAAATGGTAATTTAAAGCATGAACTTTCAAATTTGCTTCAAAAAAGCCTGAACTTTCTTGTGGACCATTTAAAGCACCTATTTCTCTTGACTAACCGTTTAAAGCGTCAACTAAATTTGACTAAGCCAATTTAGATACAACATTAACTTGCTTAACAGAACAATTAGACGGGGTTTAATCTCTGTTACACTCGCCGTTACAACTAAAACGACGCCGTTTTACAATTAAACGAAACCCTATATCCCTTCTTTCTAAAAATCAAAATCCCTAATCTCATTTCTTCCCCAAATCGATTTCGATTCACTCTCTCGATTAATTCTCGAGAATGAAAAGAAACAAAGAGATCCCAAGAGAGAAAATACCAATTCGTCGAGATAAGAGGAAGAATGCTGAGTCTTCAAATGCCGGAAGTGAAGCACGGGCTCGTGATGTAGAGGCTCCTGGAGCAGAGAATACCGAAGCAATGGCTCGAGAATTAAGATCAAAATTAAGAGCTCATGTTAGTGAAGCAAGAGCTCGTGATAGAGAGGCGATTGAAGCTGATGTTCCTTGTGGTTGGAGGATTTATTGTTCTTATGAGAAGGGGAGACATAAGATGCAAGTGAAAGTTTATATCAACGAGCATAGATGTGTCAGATCGGGTTATTCGAAGATGTTGAAGCGATCGACTATAGCATGGCTTTTCGCAGAAAGGTTAGATTGAATCCCAAACTCACAAAGCAAGAGATGGATTCAGAGATTTTGAGAGAATAGAACCTGGTTGTAACCGATGAGCAATGTGGTAAGGCTAAGTCTAAGGTTGTGAGAGAAAGAAAAGCAAGCCATGGAGCTCATTTTGCACGGATTTGGGATTATCAAGCTGAGGTATTTCGATCTAACGAAGAAACCAAGTTTGAGACTGAAACAATTCCTGGGGCAACTGTTGGAAGCAAACAAAGGTTCTACCGTCTCTTTATTTGTTTCAATTCACAAAGAGAGTCTTGGAAGCAAACTTGTCGACCCATCATAGGTTTAGATGGCGCTTTTCTTAAGTGAGACATTAAGGGTCATCTTTTAGCTGCAGTTGGCAGAGATGGAGACAATAGGATAGTTCCTATTGCGTGGGCAGTTGTTGAGATTGAAAACGACACTAACTGGGACTGGTTTGTCAAACATCTCTCTCATAGTTTGGATCTCGATGATGGAAGAAATGTAGCAATAATTTCAGATAAACAAAAGGTAACTATATCATCTTCTATTTTGTGTCTTTATTATGCGTATCTCAACCTATTACTTCATTCCTTTTGCAGGGTTTAGTGAAAGCTATTCACAATGTGCTGCCAAGTGCTGAGCATCGACAATGTGCTAAACATATCATGGATAACTGGAAGAAAGACAGTCACGATGTGCAACTGAAAATACTCTTCTGGAAGTTTGCACGCAGCTACACCAAAGGGGAATATACAGTGAACTTAGAAGCCTTGCGGAATTACAATCCAAATGCTTTCACTTCTCTGCTATTGACTAATCCTCCATCGTGGTCTAGAGCTTACTTTAGGACCGGCTATTGGTGCAATGACAACTTGAACAACCTGTGTGAGTCTTTTAATAGAACTATTCGTCAGGCAAGGAAAAAACCGTTACTAGAAATGCTAGAATACATCAGAAGACAGTATATGGTGCGTAATGCGAAGAGGTCTATTCTTGCGGGCAGATTGAAGACTAAGTTCACTAAGAGAGCTCATGCTGAGATAGAAAAGATGATAGCAGGAACTCAACTATGCACCAGACACATGGCTAGGAATAATTTCCATGAGGTCGAGATGAATGATGTTTCTTATTCTCTTGATATGAACACATGGACATGTGGTTGTAGAAAGTGGGAGATGGTTGGGATACCGTGTGTTCATGCTGCAGCAGTTATAGTAGGGAGAAAAGAAAAGGTTGGAAATTACGTCTCAGATTACTACACAACAAAAACGTGGCGGCAAACTTACAAGAATGGAATAAAACCTGTCCAAGGCATGCTGCTATGGCCTAGATTAAATAGACTACCTGTCTTGCCTCCACCGTGGCGAAATGGTGATCTAGGAAGGCCAAGTAACTACGCAAGGAAGAAAGGAAGATATGAGGTTGCGGCTTCTTCGAGTAAGACAAGGCTATCACGTGCTTTCAGTGTGAACATGTTCGAATTGCAAGCAAGAAGGACACAACAAGAAAAGATGCCCAAATGAGACTGTTGCTAGTGAACCAAAAAGACCAAGAGGTCGACCAAGAAAAAATCAGGTTAGTGTGTTTATTTCTTCTACTAAAATTGCTATTGTTAGCCATTAATGAAAAAAGATGTACGAAACTCTACTCTCTTTTTATAGGAAGGGTTGTCTCCAGGTCAAGGATCACAAAGGATGTCTCAAGGTCAGGGATCACAAGGGTTGTCTCAAAGACAACTTCAAGGTAATTCTCAAGGACAAGGATCACAAGGAGTGGCTTCTTCGCTCGGTTGAACAACATGATTTGTTCGTGTCTTATTATCCTTTAAAAACTGAAGTTATTTTGTTGACTGTGATGGTTTGTTTAAAAACTGAAGTTATTTTGGTTGTTGTTTCATCTCGGTTTGTTGTTGTATCATGGATGATGGTTTGTTAATGTTTTATTATGAATGCTTTATCTTGTTTAAATGATCATGGTTTGTTGATGTTTAGCTTATATGGTTTTTGTAATACTCATCCAAACTCAAAAACAACCACGAGTCTCATTACCATACCAAATCAAACTTAAAGACAACAACAATGTCAAATGGAAACTCAAAAACAACAACAATGTCAAACTCAACAACAAGAAAGTCGACATACATATGACATTCATAGAGGTTACATAGAAGCATATGCAAACTTGTTTTTCTTGCCTTTACCAAACACTAAGCAAACAATGAAAATGGTCACCAAGCAAAGACACACAAAGCAAAACATCATCACCACTTTCCACTTCTTGATTTCCATCTTGCTCCTTGCTACATCATCCATCAAATTTCAATCAAACTCTTTAGTTCATCTACCTCGGTTATGGTATTAGTAATCTTCATGTTCATGATTTCGAGTTTTGGAATAGCATCTTCAACCTCTTCACATACGGCATCTTCAATCCACTTGAATAAATGTCCCTAATTCATGACCAAAGTAAATGCATTGCTTCTAAGTAACATAAACAACATCTATGAAGCTGTCTAAATGACATTAAACATCGGACCCGTTAAACATCTGAGAAGCTTACCTCTTTTTTGGCTTATACAACGGAGGTCTACCCGGATTCTCTTGTGTTTTAGATAGAAAAGGCTTTACTCGTAATCCACACTCACACTTCTTTGGGAATCCACGATTTTCTCTCCCATATTGTATCTCAGAAGAAGAACTTATCATTAATCGAGAGAGTGAATCGAAATCGATTTGGGGAAGAAATGAGATTAGGGATTTCGATTTTGGGGAAGAAGGGATTTAGGGTTTCGTTTAATTGTAAAACGAAGAAAAGATTAGGGATTTCGATTTTGGGGAAGAAGGGATTTAGGGTTTCGTTTAATTGTAAAACGACGTCGTTTTAGTTGTAATGGAGAATGTAACAGAGATTAAACCCCATCTAATCGTTCTGTTAAGCAAGTTAACGTTGTATCTAAATTGGCTTAGTCAAATTTAGTTGATGCTTTAAACGGCTAGTCAAGAGAATATGTGCTTTAAATGGTCCACAAGAAAGTTCAGGTTTTTTTAACCAAATTTGAAAGTTCATGTTTTAAATGACCATTTTCCCGTATCTTATCCCTACAAAAGGCGAGCTGTTTTCTTTAATTATAGGTAAGAACCTGTTCTTGAGAACTAAAACAACAAATCACTGTGAAACGGAGTATAAGGGTGTTGTCACCATTATTAGTTCTCTTTGTCTTGTCTCTGCTCTGTTGGTCCTAATGTTTTCATCTCTACGTTTTCTGGAAGATAACTTTCCTTAAGAACAAAGAGCACAATAACCATCAGCCTTACTATATCTGTTCCAAACTTTCAACCCCAAAAACAAGAAAACTGCGATAGCTCAAAAAGAAAAAAGGATTGTTATAACAAAAAGGCAGCTGTTCTTTTAGAGAAAAAATTGTACAGTGTACAACTGACTAAAACAATACATTCTTGAGAATTAAAAGGACAATCATTATGATGCAAAGTATAAGCAGTATCGTCGCACATTTCACCATTGCTCCTTCTCTTTGTGTTCTCTCCGCCTATACAGAAAAAAAAAACATATCTCTGTGAGTTCAATAATATCTCACAATAAGAGAACTTGTGTAGTTTTTTTTGGTAAAAAGGTCAAACCTTTTGTAGTTGCTTATAGCCTTCTTCAACCGATGTAGAAACATTTTGGATATTGTAGTCTATACGATCAACTATTGTGCCCTGATTGATACAAGAACACAACAAATGATAGGGACAAAAAAAAACTTAATATATATTTTTATAAATGGCTTTAATGAGTTAAGATTGGAACCTGGTCAATCACAAGAGCTGATAAGTCTTTCATTATCTGTGCAAGGTCATTCACTGACCCCAATACCTACCAAGGAAAAATCTCAACTTCATCACCATTGAAATCTAGAATTTTTGTTTCTTAAGAAAACAGTAGATTAATGGCTTCTCATTACCTGTTGTATTTCTCTTTCCCTTTCCGCTGAGACATGTTGCCCTTCCTTCAACTTCACTGTCTGGTGTTCATCAAAACCCTAAATTTTGTTGAGACCAGTGTTAAGGGACGCAATGATATTTGGTTGGGATAACAAAGGTTGATAACTATAAGAAGTGTGTTTCTTAATGTCATTGATGTTTAAGCACTTACCATGCCACCAAGTTCTTCGTCTTCATCAAGTCTTGACACCTTTCCATTCATGTTAAACTCCAAATCTACTCCATCCTGACCCTATGATTTGAGAATCCAAAAAAAAAAGCATCAACTCGCATGAAAAAATTGGTAAAGGACCTCTTTCTGCTGCTGGAGACGTTTCAAATAAGTAGATTGTTTTCTGCGGAGCTCCATGGAGAGGCTCTGAAGATCTGTTGCAAGAGAACGCTGTCAAAAAACAGTATGTCAAAGAGTAGGTCAAGTCCATTTTAGAGATTCCTCACTAGCACATGTAGACAGAACTTTAACCTTGTTCTACAAACTTAAAATATATAATAACCTAACGGATGATAATGTCAACTACATCGGAATGAAAATAATATCTCTAAATGCTCAAAAGGAAAAAAGGTAATGACCACACACTCTGTATCCTTAACCAGCTCAATACTGAAGAAGTCCAATAGTACAAAAAACCTAATTTTATATCATATATTTGCTCATTGATGCTAATGTCAACTAGATTGGTAATGAAAATACCTTCTCATGGCTTCTTTGAAATCACTAAAGAAAAAAGGTAATGGCCACATACTAATCATTAACAAGCTCTCAATATTAAAGAAGTCCAGCAATTACCTGCACATTTTTTCTGAGATTAGATTCTTCTGAAGGTCCTTCTCTAGTAGATAAGTTGTGCAACCTCTTCTCTGACTTCCTCAACAGATCCGTGATTTCATGAGTTAGCATCTCCACTACACGATGATCCCCTCTGTTATCTCCAAATGTAGGCATTAGAGCCTTTGAATGAGCTTTGGCTAGCTCACCCATCTTGTCTCTCACCTTCTGTATATTAAAAGTGATCTCCTCAGAGTCATCCACCCAAGCTGGTGGCAGACCAATTGTAAAGGCATCATTGCTACTGCAAAAGACATTCACAAATAATATTAAAGTTTGTATTTTTATTCATACCCATTAAGAAACAATTCAACTCATCATCAAGTTTGTATTTTTATTTCAAAATCCCAAATAGAAAGTTTGCATTTGTATTCAAACCCACCAATAAAAGTTTGTGATTTTATTTCAAAATCACATCAAGAAACAATTCAATTCAATCATCAAGTTTGTATATTTATTCAGACCCATCAAGAAAGTTTGCATTTTTATTCAAACCCATCAATAAAAGTTTTGTATTTATATTCAAAATCTCATCAAGAAACAATTCAACTCAATCATCTAGTTTGTATATTTATTCAGACCCATCAAGAAAGTTTGCATTTTTTATTCAAACCCATCAAGAAACAATTCAATTCAATCATCAAGTTTGCATTTTTTTTGTTCAATCTCATCAAGAAAGTTTGCATTTTTGTTCAAACCCATCAAGAAAAGTTTGTATTTTTATTTCAAATCCGATCAAGAAACATCCCAATTCAATTCGATGATCAAGAACAAGAACCTAGAAACTACCTTGAAGTTCCAGGATCATTGGTACTCAAAGGAGCGTAAGAGGAGTGATTGGACTGAGTAAAAGAGCCGCTGACCATTTCGATCACCGGACCACCGAACGAATCAGACAAAGGAGCACGCGCGCTCTTACACGCGTCTCTGTGTTTCCTGTACACCGTGGTTCGATTCCTCGTCGCCATTAAAGAGCCAAATCAAACACTAGACACGAGATCGGGTTTCTGAGCTTCAGATTTGACGGACTTTGTGTCGTCGGAGAAAAGTAAAGAATCTGAATCACAAAGTGTTCTCTGGTTTAGCGCGTGGTTGTAGAGTAAACAAAGACGGAGAGTTATATGGGCTTATGTTGTAGGCTTATAAGGCCCATATATATATTGAGCCTTTTTGACACTTGCTCTATTAACCCTGAGAACACGGCGTCGTTTCGTTCTAGGGTTTTTTTTTGGGGCCGAAGGGAGAGAGAGTATCAGAGAGTGTGTTTCAACTTCATAGTCTTCTTCGTAAGGTTAGTAAAGTTGTAGAATCCCTCACCCCCTTCAACAAGTCAAAACCTTTAGCGATGAGTAGCTTCAACGGGGACGATTTCAAAGGCCTACGCATAACCCAGCTCGACGATGACGACGAAGACGTTAAAAAAGAATCTCCAGTTGAAGCAATAAACCTCGATGAATTCGATGACGATGACGACGACGAGGAAGAAGACGAAATAGAGCCTGTGATATTGGGATTCGTCGAGAGCCCCAGGTTCCCATGGTCTAATCTCCGACAACTCTTCCCTAACTTAGCAGGCGGTGTCCCGGTAACTAATCTTTCATTATTCTCAAATCTCAATCAAAGCTTGTCTTTTTATGTTCTTAGGTTTTTGATTCTTGAGTGTTGTAATCTTGTAGGCATGGTTGGATCCAGTTAACTTACCATCAGGGAAGTCTATTCTATGTGACTTATGTGAAGAGCCACTTCAGTTTGTACTTCAGGTTTGAGTCTCATTACAAAACTATACTATTAGGCTAAATGTCTTAGCAAAAAAAAATTGAAAGAAAATTAATTGAGTTTATTGAATTACTAATGATTAAAAGTTATTGAAAATTGCTAATTAACAAAAATGATGCATATTTATGAATTATCACAGTTATTAAATGTTTTTTCTTATGTAATGTGTGAAAACACTAAAAATTTATCTTAAAATACATTTGTAGTATTTGTTTAAATGTTGTTTGATCGGGGTTGATGACAGCTTTATGCTCCGTTAACGGACAAGGAATCAGCTTTTCACCGGACGTTGTTTCTCTTCATGTGTCCATCTATGTCTTGTCTCCTCCGTGATCAACATGAGCAATGGAAACGTTCCCCTGAGAAACCTATGCGGAGGTAGAAATAAAGGAACACTCTTTCTTATCTTTGTGTATGTTTATTTATATTTTGTTTGTTTGTTTTTTCAAGTGTGAAGGTGTTTCGTTGCCAATTGCCTCGTGTTAATCCATTTTACTCCAGTGAGGCACCAAAACACGACGGAACAGACAAGCCCTTGGGACCTGGAGGTAAACTTATGATCTAATTGAGAAATGGTTTTTACTCAGTTCAGGATTTGATTATGTTGTTGGGTCTCTTTAGCTCCTCTTTGTACTTGGTGTGGAACATGGAAAGGAGATAAAGTATGTGGCGGCTGCAAGACTACTCGATATTGCTCACCTAAACACCAGGTGTGTGTGTGCACGGTTTGTTATTATTGGGTTGCTAGCTTCCAATTTTTTATAAAAAAACAACAGAGAGTGACAGATGTTAACGGTTGGTTTGTAAGTTGAGTGGTTAAAACGTTAAAAAATAATGAGTAGTTTTTTTGACCAATAAAAAAAATAACTGACTAGTTTTTTCCGATTTTTATCACTAAAATCTTTTTTAACAATCTTGTTGTTTGGAATCTCCAGTCCCTACATTGGCATAGGGCTCATAAAATCGAATGTCAAAAGCTTCGTGCGGTTCTTGAAACATCTGACTCAGTCGATAATGGGGTTTCTCTGACTCAAGTGCAGAAAGGTTTGCTAAACCTTTCTTGTTTATTGAAACTTTATGTAAATACTGATATCAATTTTTTTTCGGTTTTTTTGTGAAGCTGCGAGTAAGAGTCTGTGGAAAGAGTTTGTATTGATCAATGTGGATGAAAGTGAGTATGATACAGAGATGTCAGAAAGTGATGAAGTTGCTCAACCTATGGTGGTTTCAAAGAGAGAAGTGGACGACCAAATGAAATCTGTGATGAAGGATTTTGAGGTGAAAAGTAGTTACTTTGCTGCATCTATTTTTCTGCAAACTATATAAAACTGCTTAAAATGATTCTCAGTTATGTGTCTGTACAGGGAGATGCTGATAAGATTAGTTGGGTTAATTTCCAGCAACGTGTAGACAAAGCACCTGAACAAGTTCTAAGGTGTGTTTCAAACAGAGAACCTCTGATATTTTATCCCTATGTTTCTCTCATAAGATCAAAAGAGTAAAGTACATTTTTTTTTTTTGATACAGATATTGCAGGAGCTCTGAAGCAAAACCACTTTGGCCAATAGCAAGCGGTCGAGTTTCTAAATCTGAGATTCCAAATTGCAAATCTTGTGGTGGACCTCGTTGTTTTGAGTTTCAGGTATTAGTCTGGTCTTAGAGACTTCTTTTGCTCATCTTTATAAACCAGTGTTCTTTATCTGTGTTCTTGATCAATTTTATGGCGTTTTTTTTCAGGCAATGCCGCAGCTACTTTTCTTCTTTGGAGGGAGCAACGAGAGGGAATCACTTGATTGGGCAACAATAGTGGTGTACACGTGTGAGAACTCGTGTGAATCGAGTTTGTGTTACAATGAAGAGTTTGTTTGGGTTCAAGTCTACAGTCAAACAACTTAAGCATCTTCTCTTGTGTTTCTCTTGCGGCAAAAGTTTTGTTCTTAACCGGATCAGCCCGGACTTACATTTGTAAAATTTGCCTGGGTTATATACACTTGTTCGTACCCTTTCTTTTGGTTATAAAAAGATTTGATATTAAAACCTCTACTACAAAATTTGATATTAAACGTAAATTTAAAATTAAATCTAAAAATTTTAGAACAGTTTCTATTTACTTAATAATTTAAAATCATATAATTAATTTAGAATATAAATATCAATATATATATATATATATATATATATATATATATATATATATATATATATATTAGTCGCTAGGGAGAACAAAACTAACAACATAGCGACTAATCGCCATTGACTACAAGAAATGATTATGAAACGATGAACAAAAAATTATCACTAGTAGCTATGCCAGTGACTGCCAAATGAACAAGACCAACATAAAACCTTCGATTTGTATTTGTTTCAAGAATTTTGCCAAGAAATACACAGCTAGAGTTCAAGTTCAGAGATATAGGCAATTTGAACCAATTTTTTTGGATGGCTTTGAATAGTGCTTCAGGTTTTGAATACATCTGATCGGGTTTGGATATCCAAACTTGTTCAACACAAAATCTGATCGTATATTTTGCTCTTTCAGTTAAGATTTCAGTTCGAGGTTTTCAGGTCAGATTCATGTACGGGTATTGGGCGAGAAGCCTATTATACTCTTAAAGAATAAGAATTTTATGAACTATGTATTATGGCATAGTTGCTTTATGTGAAAATTTAACTTCAGAAGTTTATGATGTGTATGTCACATATCCTCCAGAAAATACAAAAATTCAAATCTAGAATTTTTTTAACGCATGTTAAATATGAATATTTTTGAATAATTATTTATCACTTTTTAGATATTTTCAATAAGACCTATATCTAACAGACAATAAAAAACTTGAAGTAAAAATGTATTCCTGAAAATGGTAATAGAAACCAATCAAATTATAGAAAATTCTAAACAGAGAAAGAGAAACATGATTAGGCTTCTAGTAACTATGATCAAGCGTAACACAAATTAAGAATTAGATTCTCAATATAGTAAAAATAAAATTAATTAGATAAATGTAAAATATACATTTAATTTTGAATCAATTAGTTAATATATTAAGAATTTGTATTATTATATATTTTTATCTCATCTTCTCTTTACTTTGACTATAAAAAATATAAGCCATTAAAACTAGAGTTTCTTACAATTAAAATCTGACCGATCAATATCATAGTTGCATTTTTGGTAGTGATAGTAATCTTTCATTTGATGTGGTATTTTTCATCAAGCAATATTATAGTTTAGAATCTTACTCTATTAAAAGGGCGATATCAACCCCTATGAACTATGCCACCTAGGCGAAAATAATCAACCAATAAAAAGTTTGCATCCGGACATGTCAGCACGGCTTTGTTCACGATGGGACTTAAAAAAAATTTCACGGCTTTGTTCACGATGGGACTTAAAAAAAATTTCACGGCTTTGTTCACGAACCCTAAAAAATGAGACATGGAATACTTCTTCGCCGCTTCCTCTTCCTTTTTCTTGCTTCCTCTAATCCATCTCTGATGAAGTGTTGTTCTTCAGAGATCTCCACGTTTCACTTCCTCTCTCTTACTCGCCTTCGGGTCTCCTCTCTCGCCGGATTCTCTCTCTCC